AGATACAGAAGCTAGTGCTGCTGCCGAAACCCGGAAAACCGCCGGGGGATCCAGCATCGTATAGGCCTATATGTTTGCTGGATACAGTCGGAAAGCTATTGGAGAAGATCATCCTCAACAGGCTAACGAAATGCACGGAGAGTGAGCATGGATTGTCGGTGAGGCAGTTCGGATTCCGGAAAGGGAGATCAACGGTGGATGCAATTCGGACAGTGGTCGAGAGTGCCGAGAAAGCGTCTAAACAGAAGCGGAGAGGAGATCGATACTGCGCCGTGATAACGATCGACGTGAAGAACGTATTCAACAGCGCCAGCTGGGAGGCCATCGCCGAAGCACTGCATGGCATTACAGTTCCTGATTACCTGTGTAGCATTATAAGGAATCACTTCCAGAACTTCTATTCTACGAGAGCTGTCAAAATTACCGAATAATTTGGTAACTTTTTACCGAACTATTCAGTATTTTTTTTACAGAACTGTTCCGTAAAAGGAAATTAGTCGATCTTTTGTATTTTTGTTATTTTTCGGTAAATTAAAATGTAAAGCTGTTGCTGGTGGCTGCTTTCATGCCGATGCCAGTCCAGGAACATGCTGCAATCTGATCCCGACAGAAAAGCACAGAGTATCTGGTTGTTGTGTATGAAAAACGATCATAAAAATAAATGAAATGGGTATTTCTGACGGAATATTTAAGAGATGCATTATTCATGTACCTGTGTTTGCCATCATACCTGCATTATTTTCCAGTTACTTTTCACTGGCACTGTTCATTACAACACTTGATATAAACATGACCATCATTCGATTTGACAGTCTGGAATTAGTTACAAAAGTTCGGTAAACGTTTTTGTAATTTGCAGTTTGTTCGGTATTTTTTTTACCGGATTCGGCATTTGCCTCGTTTTACAGTTCTTCAGTGGTGGACAACAAACCCAACCTGTACACACATGTACTGGTACGGTCCTCAAAATCGCAACACGTGTGAACGAATGGTGCACACCGTGTAAAGTTTTCATTTCGTTTACACGGTAAACGAAACTGAAACCAAAACCGGGCCTCGGTTTCGAAAACACAACCGAATCCATCAGCACTGTTCACACGTGTAAAAGGGTTTGGGATCGGGTGTATGGAATATCAACCACGGATTCGGTTCAGTTTTTGCAAACCAAACCTGGTTTTTGCTGAACATGGTTAAACGGTTGGGCGAAGAAGCTGTGAATGGAGGTGCAGTGCTGCCGAATGTGAAAGTGAATGAAAACTTAGATGATCAAAATTCAAAGTGCCAAGCTGTCAAATACCCCACAATATGGATATTTTTAGAATCGGGATGACGTGTGGGATCGGAAATCAATGTTTGATGCCATTTTGAAATCCAAGATGGCGGCTTCCGGTTAGAGAAAAACTATGAAATACTGTCAAATACCTCACAATATGAGTATTTTTTCAATAGGGATGACGGGTAGGGTTTGGAGGTTGGAAGCTGAAGGTCGAGGAACAAGCAACAATGCCTTTGATACTACCCTCTACATCAACAGCTCCAGCAACGTGAGTGGAGGCAATGCTCACGGCAAAAACGGCAAATATTAACGAAAGAAGCTAAAGCAACTGTCCATGAGCCAGAGGGTTAGTTCTGCTGAAAACGTGCTGCTTTATTGGGAAAGTTTGAGAAAATGCGACCCAGAACTATACGCACTTGTGCAAATCACTTTGGCGGTCCCATGTACACAAGTGTCTGTAGAGCGCTCATTTAGTGCACTTTCCTTGGTTCTTACCGACAGAAGGTTGAAGCCCACCGACACAAATCTTGCAAACATTTTGTTCGTTAAGCTTAACCGAAAATTGTTTGATCAGAAGGAGCTGTTTTTCCTGTAAATGTATACATATCTGAACCGGCGCATAAATAAAATAAAATGTAAACTTTAAATTTTTTTTTCATAATTGCGTCATTCGTCAAAATGACGTCATTAAACGATTTCCGATCCCTACCTGTCATTCCGATTCCAAAAATTACATTTTTGGGGTATTTGACAATGTTTCCCAGATTCTCTAACTGGAGGCCGCCAACTTGTGTCAAACGTCAATTTCTGGTCCCTACCCGTCATCCCGGTTCCAAAATACCCATACTGTGGGGTATTTCACAGTATTTCCCTGTTTTTCTCTAACCGGAAGTCACCATCTTGGATTTCAAAATGGCATCAGACATTGATTTCCGGTCCCTACACGTCATCTCAATTCTAAAAATATCCATATTGTGGGGTATTTACAGTATTCTCCAGCTTTTCTCTAAGTGGAAGTCGCCATCTTGGATTTCAAAATGGCTTCAGACATTGATTTCCGGTCCCTACACGTCATCCCGATTCCAAAAATACCCATATTGTGGGGTATTTGACAGTATTTCTCTGTTTTTCTCTAACCGGAAGTCGCCATCTTGCATTTAAAATGGCGTCACTCATTGATTTCCAGTCCCTACACGTCATCCCAATTCCAAAAATACCTATGGGTATTTACAGTATTTTCCAGTTTTGCTCTAACCGGAAGCCCCCATCTTGGATTTCAAAATGTTGTTAGACATCGATTACCGATCCCCACATGTCATCCCGATTCCAAAAATACCCATATTGAGGGGTATTTGACAGTAGTTTCCAGTTTTTCTCTAACCGAAAGTTGCCATCTTGGATTTAAATTGGCGTCAGACATTGATTTCCGGTCCCTACCCGTCATTCCGATTCTAAAAATACCCATATTGTGGGGTACTGACAGTATTTCCCTGTTTTTCTCTAACCGGAAGTCATCATCTTGGATTTAAAAATGGCGTCAGACATCGATTTCCGGTCCCTACACGTCATCCCAATTCTTAAAATATCCATATTGTGGGGTATTTACAGTATTTTCCAGTTTTTCTCTAACCGGAAGTCGCCATCTTGGATTTAATATGGCGCCAGACATTGATTTCCGGTCCCTACCCGTCATCCCGATTCCAAAAATACCCATATTGTGGGGGTATTGATAGTATTTCCCTGTTTTTCTCTAACCGGAAGTCACCATAGACGCATTTCGCGCCAAATCGAATCGAAGCTGGCAGCACCCTCTCAGATTTCAATAAAATTTTCTGGATGTGTAGACTTTGACTAAAGAAGCACTTTTGCATACTCAGTTTTTCCAAAATTTATCTAGACTAACATTTGAGAAGGGCCAAACTTTTTCTGCCGATTTTTTTCAAAAAAATATTATGGAAAAATGACAACTCAAACAAAAATATGTTGTATGGATGACTTTTAGGAAATTGACCAAATTATCGAAAAAAAAATACTGAAAAAAAAATTAGTTTGAGACCTACACTGAAAAAAATCGATTTAAAAAATTTAAAGTCGATTTAAAAAAAATGGCCATGTTTGATTTGGATGAAACATTGCCTCAAGATAGGTAATTATGTTTACTACCATCCGTCCATACATTGCGAGATGGGCACTTTTAAGGAAAAAAAGTTTTTCTTACAAAAACTTTTACATGTCTGAACTGATTTTTTTTTTGATTTTCCATTTTCACACAAAACTAAACCAGTGAAGCTCAAAATCATCTCAGAAAGCAATGAAGCCCCATTTGTGATTGTATTTTTTTCGATAACTTCCTAAAAGTCATCCATACAACACATTTTTGTAGGAGTTGTCATTTTTCCATAATATTTTTTTGAAAAAAATCGGCAGAAAAAGTTTGGCCCTTCTCAAATGTTAGTCTAGATAAATTTTGGAAAAACTAAGTATGCAAAGTGGCATATTTAGTCAAGGTCCACACATCCAAAAAGTTTCATTGAAATCTGAGAGGGTGCTGCCAGTTCCGAATACGATTTGGCGCGAATTGTGTCCATATTGGATTTAAAAAAGGCGCCACTCATTTTTTTTTCCTTTGGTTTGTTTTTTCCGTCGATCTTGTTTTCCGTGCTGAGCACCAATGCTACCGACGTGCCATGAAGGCAGCTCCCACACCTGGACCCTACCTATCGACCCATCAACTCATGAACCGGGGACCAACGGCTTTACTTCCCATCCGAAGGAAGGCGTGATCAGAGATGTTATGCTTCAGAACATCCCGGCGGCGCCGACTGGGATTGAACCCAGGCCCGCTGGGGTGAGAGGTAATCACGCTTACCACTACACCACCGGCGCCGTTAGCGTCACTCATTGATTTCCGGTCCCTATCCGTCATCCCAATTCTAAAAATACCCATATTGTTGGGTATTGACAGTATTCCCCTGTTTTTCTCTAACCGGAAGTCGCCATCTTGGATTTCAAAATGGCGTCAGACATTGCTCAGTGAAGTGTTAATTTTGGAGGTGGCTGTTTATGGTGATGCAGTCAAGAAACATACACTGAAACCTGATCCCAGCATAGAAAGCACAGAATCCCAGATAGTGTCTTAACAACAATCGTAGAAAAAAATAGGTGTAATACCTAATCAATTTCTTACGGAATATTTAAGAGAGTGCATTCTTCATGCACCTGTATTTGTTTGCATACCTGCGTTGTTTCACTAGATTTTCCGGTCACTGATGACACTGTTTAGTTTTACACTTGAAATAAAAATGATCTTTTTTCGATTTGACAGTCTGGAATAATTTACAGAAGTTCGGTAAACGAGTTTGTAATTTGCAGATTGTTCGGTATTTGTTTACCGAGTTCGGCGTTTTCCTCGTTTTACAGTTCGTACTGTAATTTTGAGCGATATAGCCTCGAAGAATGGACAGACTATTTTTGTTTGTGTAATGTCGATGTTTTTGTTTTTCCAAATACATTATGAAGTTGGAAGGGAATGAAATATGTTTAATGTATTTTCCATTGAATATTGGATATCCGATCCGATATCGAAATGATATCGATATTTTATAGAAACCGATATCGATACATACGACCTCGTCACAGCACCTGCAATGTTTCGTATTATTCTTTCACCAGTTTTATTCTAAACCATGTGTGTTGATTATTTATCAATTATGTTAAATTTCAGAAGCAATTACGTCTAATATTGACGTATGCGAAAGTGGAACATTAGCTATAACACAGCAGATGTCACAGCTACAACCAATGGCGTCCCCAGATGTTGATATTGCCGAAAGTCCATCGGCATCATTTCAGGTATGTACAACCCCTCTCAACTGGTGTCGAGACCTGCAACAGCAGTTGTCCCTAATAAAAAAAATACCATAAACGAATGATAACACAAATCATAGAACTATTTCATAAATGGTTTGGATGATACCTGGAACAAGTAGTTAAGCAAAATAACCATAACAATTTTATTAGGGATACCAAAGAAAAATACTAAGATGAAACAGTTGGAAGAAAAACTATGTATTTTATTGTCCTCTTTCACGGTCCCTTTTATCCAATGAATACCCCTCGTTTGCAAGGTAATTTTGTGGTTATGCTGTCCCCTCGCTTGAGGTGAAATTTTGCGCTTTTTTTTCATCAAAACAATCACATCAAAATCAGAGATGTCACATTTTTTAATTACTCGATTAACAAACAATCGATTATATTTTGTTCGCTGTGCTGTCATTTTTCCATCAATGAGAATGCAGCACATGTTTGAAATGATCCTCTGCAGAAGTTAATGCTTTTATCAACATGATACAACCAACTGCAAATATTTTAATTTTCGGTTCGTTAAATCGATTATTCAATGAAAAATCGGACATCACTAGATTAATGTGAAACGTCATTTCAAATATAAGGGCCGTTCATAAATAATGAGACAAATTGAAAGGGACCGGGATAATCACAAATTACGTCCCCACGGTAACTGAAATAAACACGAGTGCTGACCGGTTGGTTGTACCAACAATGAATATGGAACTTACTTGACTAGCCCATTTGTCCCAATTACCGTATGCGTGATAATGTTTGCACCATCGTACAAATAAGGTTCCCGTTTCACCTGTGCATACAATGTCTTCGTTTTCTGAAGTGGCAGCGTATTCGTGATTTGCCCCACGCGAAAATGTCGCAAAAAGACATTTCAATCGCCGTGGGAGTGTCCCAGTGGACCGTCAAAAGGGTTTTAGACCGAGAAAAGAAAGGACAACTATCCACGAATGTGGCCACAAGTCGTCCGAGGTCAGCTCGGGTTCCGAAGGTTATCGCTGCTATCAAAAGGAAGATTCGGGTGAATCCAGTGCGTTCAATAAGGAAAATGGCAAAGGAACACGGGATCAGTAGCTATACGGCACGGAAGATCGTAAAGGAAGATTGCGGGGCGAAGTCGAGGGCACGGAAAAAACACACATGATTACCATCCGCATCCGGGAGCTACGAGTCGAACGATGCTAGAAAATCTTGAACTTCCTTAAGCGAAAAAATCCGGTAATCCTGTTCACCGACGAAAGCATGTTTATCGTCGATCCCGTATCAAATTCAAGAGCCGACCGGTATATTAGTTCTCTTCCGATAAAAGGCGTGGTCGATGACAAAGAACGTGTATCTGACCAAGCATCCTGCTAGCGTTATGGTGTTTGGATTGGTGGCTTCCGATGGCAAAAAAATGGACCCGGTGTTCATTCCAGAAGGCGACAAAGTTAACACGGAGGTCTACATCGGACTTTTAAGTAAGTATGTTCTTCCGTGGATCAAAGAACAGTACGGTCCGAAGCCAAATGTTGTATTTCAACAAGATGGGGCTTCGTGCCACACCTCGAACCGCACTCAGAAGTGGTTGCAGGAACATCTTCCATTCTAGGCGAAGGATATATGGCCACCATTCAGCCCTGATCTTAATCCGCTGGATTACTCAATATGGCGTGTGTGTGTGTGTGTGTGTGTGTGTGTGTGTGTGTGTGTGTGTGTGTGTGCGTGTGTGTTTTTTTTTGGCAAGGAAGAAATCTTCAAAAAGGCCATCGTGCCATCGCTAGACGACTGGGCGCACAGTCGCGGTGACACGGTGTGTGAGATTCTTACCGCCATAAAACCTCCTTGGACGCCTTGCCCTTTTCCTCCGGAAGCACTTGTCGTATTACTTCGGAGGGGGCCGTGCATTACGCACCTCACTTTACCTCAGCTAATTGGCGCTTCCAGTTCGCTAATCGTCTCTCCAATTTGTGAGCCATGTAGCTCTCAGCGTCACGTTTTACTCGGTTATCCCCGGTGGTGGATTCAGCCTACTCTGACGAAGAGTTCTCCCGGCTTCGGCTTTCAGTTCGCTCTTGTGTGAGTACATTACTACTTTCTAGTTGGTCTTCTCGCCATTTTCGCTGCAGCGCTGACATGATCTGCGTTACTGCTCTGCTGACGGCGTTAAAGGTGCCCTCCTCTCGACAAATTTCTTCGACGACATTTTCCGTGCTAAGGGCGAGCATATCCTCTCGCACAGCATCAAATCTAGGACATTCGAAGACCACGTGCTCTGGTGATTCTTCCACATTCACACATTCCGGACAGAAGGGTGACGTTGTGTGTCCGAACCGATGCAGGTACTTCCTGAAGCAGCCATGACCAGACAGGAACTGTGTCAAGTGGAAGTTGACTTCTCCATGCTTCCTGTTCACCCAGGTCGAAAGAGTCGGTATTAGCCTGTGTGTCCATCTACCGTTCTCTGCTGCATCCCACTCCTGCTGCCACTTAGCAATCAACTCCGTTCTCACCATTTTTCGTACTGCTCTGGTTTCTCTCGTCATATAGTACTCGTAGTCCTCCGCCAAGTCGATGCCGATTGGGATCATACCGGCGATAAAGCATACTGCCGCCATCGAAATGGTTCTGTACGCACTCACGACTCGCATGGCCATGAGCCGGAACGTACTGCTCAATTTCCTTTGGTTCTGCTTCGTTTTCAGCGCTTCAACCCAGGCTGGACCTCCGTACCTTAGTATCGATGAGGACACAGCCAGAAGACGCCTCTTGCTGCTGCTTGGACCAGAATTGCTCGGCTTGCTTCTGGCTATTGCGTTGATGACCTTCGCCGCCTTCTCGCAAGCATATTCGATGTGGCTATTAAAGTTTAGCCGGTCGTCGATCATCACTGCCAGATACTTTAGCACGCGCTTCGAAACAATGGTGTGCTATCTAACGGTGATTTCTGCCCGTTGCACTGCTTTTCAGCTACTGACCAACATCAGTTCTGTTTTGTCGTGGGCTATCTGCAGCTTCGCTCCTTGCATCCAGTTACCAATCATATCTATCGCCTCGTCCGCCAGCATTTCCACTTCTTTCAGCGTCTCACCGGTTACCGTCCAGACGACATCGTTCGCAAAGCCAACGATCTCAACTCCTTTGGGCAGCTTTAGCGCCAGCACGCCATTGTACATTCCGTTCCACAGCGTGGAACCTAGAATGGAGCCTTGTGGAACTCCCGCCGTGATTCTAAGCGATTTCTGCCCCGTGTCTGCCACGTAGACCAGGACCCGGTTCTGGAAGTAACTACTTAGAATCCTGCAGAGGTAGTCTGGAACCCTCATTCTATGGAGCGCCTTGGCGATGGCCTCCCAGCTGGCGCTATTGAATGCATTCTTCACATCAATCACGGCGCAGTATCGATTTCCTCTCCGCTTCTGTTTGGAAGCTTTCTCGGCTTTGTCAATCACTATCCGAATTGCATCCACCGTCGATCTCCCTTTCCGGAATCCAAACTGCCTCTCCGACAATCCGTGTTCACTCTCCGTGCATTTCGTCAGCCTGTTCAGGATGATCCTTTCCAAGAGCTTTCCGACGGTATCCAGCAAGCATATTGGCCTATACGATGCAGGATCCCCCGGCGGTTTTCCGGGCTTCGGCAACAGCACAAGCTTTTGTACCTTCCACCTATCAGGGAACTGACCCTCGTCCAGACATTTCTGCAGCACCATCCTGAACATGTCCGGGAACGTCTGGATCGCCGCCTTCAACGCCACGTTGGGAATTCCATCCGGGCTGTGAGCTTTATTCGCCTTCAACCCTTTCGCTGCTGCTATGAGTTCCTCGTTGGAGACTTGTTCAACGTTGTCTTCATCTTCCTCGCCATATGGTGTAGGTGGGCAGTTCGTTGGGTCATGCTGTGGGAAAAGTCCCTCCACGATAACTTTCAGCTTGTTGGGACACATTTCAACCGGCATCATTGGACCTCTAATCTTCGCCATCGCGACTCGGTATGCATAACCCCAGGGGTTGGCATCAGCGTCTCGGCATAGCTCCTTGAAGCAGTTTGACTTGCTCAGCTTTATCTTCCGGTTTAGAGCGGCCCTGGCTGCTCGTAACACCACCCTTCGCTCTGCTCTGTCTGCATCAGTTCTTGCTCTCTGAACGCGCCTTCTGATTCAGAGACAAGTAGCACGGAGGGCGCTAAGTGCCTCGTTCCACCAGTAATCTGGGCGCCGTCTGTTACTTGGCTCCGATTTCCTCAGCATGGTTGTGTCACATGCCCTCGCTAACGATTCGGTCAACTCGTCCGCGCTTTGGTCTGGGACGCTGCTGTCTACCCGGAGAGCTTTTACAAAGAGATCCTTGTCGAATGCCTTCGTCTTCCACCTCCGCTTGCTTACTTTCGTTTTCCACATTGCCGTAGGTATTCGTTGGCCAAAGCTGTACCTAATCGCCTGATGGTCACTATGAGTGTACTCCTCACACACTCTCCAGTTAATACTTGCCACTAACGACGGACTACAGAATGTGACGTCGATAATAGATTCCCTACCATCTTTGCGGAAGGTGCTCATGGTTCCTTCGTTGGCCAGACTGACGTCCAACTTTGCCAGACCTTCCAGCAGGCTATACCCTCTTGCGTTGGTAGATCTGCTTCCCCAGTCCACTGCCCAAGCATTGAAATCTCCTCCAATGACGATTGGTCTCCGTCCGGTGAGCTCCCCGGTGAGTCCATCTAGCATCTGGTGAAACTGCTCCATTGTCCATCTCGGGGGTGCATAGCAACTACATACGAAGTTTCCAATTTTGGCGATCACAAAACCTTCGTAAGACCTCGTCACCACTTCTTGTATGGGATACCTGCCCATAACTTTTATTGCCGCCTTCCCTGCTCTATCGGCCACCCAGTTATCGTTATCGGGAGGGACTCGATACAGCTCCGCAATCATTGCAACGTCGCACTTTGTTTCCGTTGTTGACTGCCACAACAGTTGCTGTGCTGTGTCACAATGATTGAGATTTATTTG